AGCTACACTGCTAGAATAGTGTATACATCTATACACTGCTACATTATTTAGATTTAACTTCAGTTTTCATATTTCAGTACAGTAAATATCAACTGCCCACCTTATTCAAATACAAGTTAGGTTGAGATATAATAGCTTTTTTCATGTATTTGCTTTATCATTCGTGATTTCCTTTCAAATAAAATGTCACACAAAGGGATTTTCTATTTTAATTTAGGATTTTATCTCCAAGCTTTCAATTCTTAGAGGAAAAAACTGCTATGCTTGTCAAAACTAAAGCATCATCCCCATAACAATGGGACATTTTTTATTCAATCAAAATATAGGGTATTTTTACTCAACCGAAATTACAGTTAACACTGTTTAGGGACAAACAAACTCATAAGTCGTCAGTCCTGCATCATTATTTCATTTTCGATCAGCTGATACATTGGTGCATAATTGTCTTCACGATTTCGAGTTATTTATTGTTTATTGTTGTTATTGTTCTTTAGTTGTTGTAATTGGTTGTGAATACTGCTCGAAATGGACTTTTTGCAGGCTCAAAGGAGATTTATTGTAGGGGAATGCATTAAAAGAAAATCATTCGATTTACGCCAAAAATGGTTTGCAATTAAGATTACAGGTAATATTTAAGTAAATAATTCAACTACAGGTTGTAAAAAACGTAAAGATTTATATTGTTCTAGATTCTAGAGAAAACCTGGCTGAGAATCACAATTAATCCCTAATGAAACAAAACAGTGCAGACAACAATGAAACAATCCATAGCCTATCAGCTAATTGGTAATGCAGTGAATGCAGCAGGGCTGTCAACTTATAAGAATTTTTTCCCTAAAGAGTGGGTAATTGTAACTATGGTTGCGTGAAAAAAAAAACACCCTGTACTTCGGAAGAATATTTTTAGGATACGTCCAACTTTTGCCTATTTTCAAAGAAGCTGTGCATGTGGTACTTTAATTATTTTTTACCTGTATTCGAGATTGTCCTCAGTTTTGATAAATATTATTTTCATTTCGTACAAAAATTAATTGTAAATTAGCTGTCACTCCAAAAGGGGATACAAATAAAATTTTATATCACTTTTATCTGAAAAACCTTAGTTAAACTCCTTTAGTTCACCCACCGTTTAATGTAATAAATATTAAAACAAGGAATGAGAAGTATATTTTCGTATTCAAAATATATCTTCAACAACATTGGTTGTTATACAGTATATCTTTGAAGATTTGACGATTCTATTTTAATGAAGATATTTATATACCATTTTTAATGCAGATAAACCACTGTTTATTAAGCATTCAAGACATTTGTATTAATATGTTACTTAAAAGTTTATAGTAATAGTTTTTTAAAGTACGCTCCCAGCGTTATATTTGTAGTAATTGGAGAAGAGTCTAATTTTTGAAGGAAGGTTTAGTAAATTTCGTTTTGCACTCGAGGTGCATTATTTTTATTTAATAAAAATGCTACCAGCAATTAAAATCATAATTTCCAAAACAAATTTTAAAAAATGCCTGGAGATACCATGGATTAGTACGTACCAAATTTCATCAAAATCGGACCACAAGCGTGGTCTGTAGCTCTGAACACATCCAAAAATACAGACAGACACACACACAAACAGACATCACTTCAAAATCCACTTTTTGGGTTCAGGAGGACCTAAATCGAGTATATCAGTTCACAACTCAAACACCGAGATTTTACAAAAAAAAACTTTCTCTATATTCTATGTATAGGGTAAGAAAGCAAAAAATACTAGAATCACCAAAAACAAAATAAATACAGTATTTAAATATATAGGTGAGAAAGTAAATATGAAAGATTTCATAGCCTCATAAATAAAATAAACCTCCGACAAAACATCAATCTTTTAATAACAACACGTAATGACAATGCTCTAATAAATACCATGTAACGTAACGAATAATTAACTTACATACATAGTTCAGTAATACAATTAATAACAATAAATAACATAAATACGCTGTTTACATTAAAATAAAAATTTTGTATATAATATTTTGATAAATTATTTCCTTTTATTTCCCCCCAACCTAAACAATAGTTACAGTAAACTCACTTAATATAACATAATAATATTAGTTTGATCATTAAATTGAGTGACATGTATAGTGTAGTGGACTATGACGACGCGTAGTGTAGAAGGCCGTGCACGAACAGCTGATCTTATTGTTGTGCCACCTGTAGAAGATTCATTCATAGTCAGCTAATTTTCGTGTTGCAACTGGAGTTCGGGCGTTTGGTCGGAGTGATTAGTGCTTGCTTAATTAGCTGTTACGGTTATTTGATACTATTTATTTTAAATATTATCTAACCTATGGGTAATTAGTGGTATTTAATCGTAATAAGTGCGTAGTGTTATTATTAAGTAATTATCAAACATTAAGTTGTGTTTGTAGTGTATTAAACATTGCTTATGGCAAAGGTCAACGTTCCTTCGACGTATCATTGGATTGTAAAGGTAGGAAATCATATTTACTACAGTAAGATTGAATGGAATTATTTAGTTTGGCATTATATATTTCCTTTAAAATGTACGTGTTTTGTTAATGCTATGATATACGGTTGAACAATTATGCATTAAAATTTATTAGTAGGGTCTAGCAATTACATAACCAAACTTACTTAATAAACCTACGTTGCTGTAAATGAATACCCAATCTAGACTTTAACTATTTGTATTTGGTTTAATTATCTTAGGAAAGCCCTTAGTCATACCCCAAACAGTAGAATAATATTCTGTTGGTCATTTTTAGTAGCCTTTTCCTTGCAGCATAGAATTTATCCAAATTTAGTTTCCCCGTTACTAAAATCCAAATAGCCTACGTATATGTCCTTTAGCTTCTTATGTAGGTATATACATATCTCCATAAATATTTTCGACATTTACTTAATTCTAGAGAAGGTTTATCTACGTAAATTGAATTCAGATTGAGTTTGAAAACTGTAGACAACTATAATCCACAAATACAGTAAATACACAAATACATGTTATTAATTCACAACGTAGGCTTGTAGTTTAACCCAAGAATATTAAAAGCTTTTGAAGGTTTAACAGTACACAAAAATGCTATTTTAACTGTTTCCATATAAACTATGTTGATCGAACTAGCGAATTTCCCATATAGGGAATAAGCTATTACCGTATGTCTCATGGACATAACCTGGGACCATTTTACTTTTTGTTTTGAGGTCCCCAGAGGCCAAAAACACCATCCGTTCAAATTCATATATATACAATGTTGTTATTTATTTATATATGTGTCCGTTAGCGCGATATACTTTTGATATAGGCTATGGTCAAAACACTTTTTACCTTCCCCGTAGCAGCAAACCTAAGCACTCGTTAAATCTAATTGTATTTAAATTGGAAATAAATATGTCTTATTTATGGAAATATTTTAGTAAAAATGTAATCAGACAAGTTGAAATTCGCTTATTTTGCAGGTTTGCTGCGGCGGGGGTATTTGTGTACTAGGGTGTGTCACTGTTTTTGGTGTCCTTCTGTTTTTAGGTTTCGTGGGTTAGAGGTTCCATGTAGATTATTAGTAGGCTTTTTGATAATTATTCAAAAAGTTCCCCAAATACTAGCTTATTATTGTCGTACAAGTTTTATCATAAATACTTTGTATTCTGCAAACTGCAATCTTTTGGAACCAATACATACTACTCTAATTTCGGTTGATTGTATCGATATTTGTGGTCTTAAGTTGTACCTATTCATCGAATATTTAGTTCTTTACAGAAAAGTTTGTCTTTACATATTTCATAGGTAATACATTAATTATTTTTTTGTTTTCATAAGTTATTGACGTGTCTTATAGTTTGAAACTAATATTTTAGGCCATTTCCTTTCCTATTTGTTTCATGTAAACGTCAGTATTTAATTCCTTATTCTTTAAATATCAGAAAATAAATACTTCTAAAATTATTGGCATTATGATCATATTAAAAACGACAGTGAAAAAGTTTGAAAAACATTTTTAACTCAAGACTTTACTTATATAAACACACATTATTTTCTAATATAAAATTGACAATCATTCGGAATGCATACAGTGGTTAAAACAAAGTAAGAAGAATTCCCCACAGCAAATGAAATGTCTTTATTGCTCTTAACATGGAAAGAAACATGCATTGTAATCGTCAAAATTGTTTAAAATAGCTTACAACATACATTGCAATCCATCCAAAAATATTGACTTAAGTTTGAAAGAACAAAACCATGCTTTCCTACAACCATTTAGGCCTACTTACACAATTTATGCATACAGCAATAAATTAAGGCATTGCGAATTGTAAACTTTTTAAAAGCGTAATAAATGAATGACACCCAAATCGTCAAGGCTGGATTATTATATATACATTTGTAAAAGAAGCTAAGATATGTGAGTAAGAAACTGGTTTGGAATGTTTCAAAATTATTAGCCCAGTTCGGTTGTAGAAAGCAACGGCCTCCAAATGTTTCTCCGTTCTGCGTAATTTTATTTTATGCTTGTCTGGAAAAGAAGGGGCTGTATGTTACATTGCAGAATTTGGTGATCGTGCAAATTTATGGAGAAATACTTGTAGAATGCAATCTTTGAATTTTGTATGAGATACAAAATATCAAATCTTGTATACCTATTACAATGACACGGTAAATGAAAATAGTAAAACATATCTGGAAAATACTAAACATATACTTTTTCTGAAAATATAAATACATGCATAATCTATGAAAAGTAATAGGGACTAAAGTTAGGAAATTCTGTGAAATGGATTCGCTTGGAGTGCCAATGGAAACGCCAATTTGAATAGCCTGCAAAAGCGCGGGTGATATTGTGGTATTGAAAAAATATTTTTATATGTTATAAAATATAGAAATAGAACAGTTGAGTTTTCCATACACAAACAGTTATTTTCAGATTTTCTTTGGTTTCAAACTCCTTAAATTAAAAAAATAAGATTAAGCATTCTCTGCTACGAAAATATTGGACAGCTTAATAAACCAGGATTTTGTTTCTTAATTTTTAATTTTAAGTTTAATTTTGTTTCAAAACTAATGTTACTATCATTTCTTCGTAGCCCAAATTTAACATACTTATCCTAAATCAGTGTATACGGTATGAGAAATATATTTTTACGAGCCTTTTAATACTATCATATTTTTGTGTATAGGCCTATCTCATAGATAAGATAAATTAGTGGGTTTGTTGTTGTTGTAGGCTACTAAATAATTGATATTAACCATTTAATCTTTGTATTGTTTACTCCAAAAGTATCCTTTAAATTGTTAAAAAATAACTCGTTTATAGCTCTTGAACTTAATCCAAGCTATCACTAAACTTTTTGCTGAATCACACAGTGTGTGTTTAATCGCAAAGTCTTCCAGAGGTGGAAGAGTAGGCTTGGTAGCATAGTAGGTTAGATAGTAGGGCCGGGAGGCTGTAGTCACTCATGCGTCAATTCTAGCGAATTTCTCATATACTGAATAAACTGTTACCGTAGGTGTCATGGAAATACCAATTTTACAAAGGAAAAATTTACTTTTTTATGTTGAAGGCCACAAATATCATTTGTTCAAACTCATTAAGTCCGAACGATTATTCGAGTAAAAATCATCCGATTTCTATGAAATTTGTCCTAACTTGTAAATTTACTTATCGAACACGTTCGTGAACCAGCATGGTATCGGATTTTATGGGTAGTAATTGGGTTTTCTTTTTTTAACCACCAAAACATGAAATGCTGCAATTTCTTTGTAATTTTGTATAGCCTTTGAAAGCTAATTACTAAGTATACTAACGCATTGTTGTATGTCCAATGAGTACAAAGAAAATTTAAATAAATACAGCAAATTTATGATGACCATGTTATTCTTAAGAAGAATAAATATTATACACTCTCATTTGCTTGTTTATGTATGTATTTTGATCAAGTTTGGCAAATTTCTTTATTTAATTTTTAACTACTAACCTTATAAAAAATACACTTTATTACCTTTCCAGATGCAGCAAAATTTTGATCAAATTTGGCAAATTTATTTATTTTATTTTGAGCTATTAACCTTATAAAAATACACTTTATTACCTTTCCTGAAGCAACAAAATGTAAAACTCATTTACCTTTACGTTATGCTATAGAGAATAAATATGTCAATTTTATTGAAATAATTTAGTGAAAATCCACCAGGGAAATGGAAATTTACTTAGTCTGCGTGTTTGCTGCAGTAGGATTATAAACACATGAATTTAATTTAAATGCTCATACAATTATTGAATAGACTCCTATATCCATAAGCAAATAAATTATAATATTAATATATCCTACGCATTTTGTATGTCCAATGTAATCTCCCATCCATGTACATTTATATGTACAATTCACAATTCAAAACATTCACTGGATGGAAGTGTCTTCGAAATGTAATAAATTATACCCATATCAATTCTCAGGGTTATCAATTGGTTGGAGTCATAACCTTTAATTATAAAGATGAAACTTTGTATGGTTTTAGCACCTGATTAAACCATTTGCAAGTATACACTTGTTGTAGTAAAACTCATTTATTGGATTCTGTTTGGACCCCGAGCACGATGGATCCTGGACTGGAGTAAGTTTGGGATTTCATATGTTTAGATGATATAAACTACCTATAAAGCTAAAATGCGTGATTATTGGTTTCTCATTAGAACTTTACAAACGTTTATTATGAGTCCTTGGAGGCTAGCGGTCATCTTGGATAATTTCAAACAGCTGCTGAAGAGTTATTTATCGCCCAAAAATATTTTTCAATCACCAAAGTTATTATATTTGAAATTTCTAGTATACTGTGAGATTATAAATGTTTCTTGTAGTTTTGAATTATTGTTCTCCAATGGAGTCCATGGAAGTTACCGGCCATCTTGGATTTGCCCGCCATTAGAGAAATGTTAATTTCATTAATTTCAAACAGCCACTGAAGAGTTATTTACCGTCTAAAAATATTTTTTCAAACACCAGAGTGATTGTGATTTAAATATATAGTATACTGTGGGATTAGAAATTTGCTTTGTTCACGTTGTTGCTGTTTTACAAGTTAAAGCGTCTAGGCTCCAAGGACTCTTAAACACGTTGTTGTGTTCAGAATAAAAAATCATTACCAAATGTAATTAATTCTCATCATAACAGCTATAAAGCTTTACTTGTGTTGTAGTAAGACTAGTTTGAAAATACATGAGTAGGGGTGGTTATAAAAGAAGGAGTCAAAAGTTACCTCTGCGCGCTACTGGGGGTGCCGGTTTTGACTGATTTTTTACCACGACACGCCAGCTGTAGTGCTCTTCTGGGTGCAGGTGCTGTTTATCTTTGGGCTACCAATTATTATTTGGGGCAACTAAACCAATTTTAGATAGTAAAGAGGCGAGATTTGGGCCGTTTTTCTTTACTAAAAAACTTGTAAAACTTCAATGGCGTAGTAAAAAACCGATAATACTTTACCATCCGAAAATACGCAAGAGCTTACAAAACACGTAAATAATAAACCCGTTACTCTAACCTTGACATTCGCTTTTCAAAACAAACAAAAAACCGCTTGACCATTAAAATAATAAGTAATAAAACGATTGCGGGTAAAGGCGTGCCGTGCATTGTTCCCTACAATGGCCACTTATGGGTGAATGTCGAGTACGACAAAGACTCTGCCGCCCTCTACAAACCTGCTATCACACTTTCGTTCGACCTTGAGACGACAATCAAGGTCTTCGAGAGGATCGACCTGAGACGCTCAATGGGCGGGTCTGGGGTCTGGGGTCTGCTAACGATGTATTTGTCCAACGATTTCACGGCCACTCAACACTATAGTGATTGCTGCCGCAGTACGCCTGAGAGTTGAGATTAGGGGCGAACACTAGACGAATGAAGCTGTCGATCCTTTTGCATTTAATAATGTTAGTTTTTGGGACAAAATTAAAATGATTTATTTAATCAGGAAAAGTAAGGGCCACATAATCATTTCCTTAACCTCTAGATAGTTAAACTTAAACATTTACAATTCATGCTTCAATCTATAATATGTAATGCAGAAAAACACTTTGCAAAATGTAACATGTTTCAACTTTACACAATCAGTACATAAAGATTTGATTTGATTTGATTAGTAATTACTACACACAAGGATACACACATCTGTCAGTGAACGACTAAGAGTAGGTACATGCCTTCAGGACCAACGTGATTTTTAAGAGGTTTCTATGGACATTTTCCATAGCTATCAGTCACAATCAAGATTTGAACAACCTTTCAAGATGTTGAATCTGATCCTTCACGTGAACAAGCTACTGAGACAATAATTTAGATTAAGAATAATACATTCAACCAAGCTTTGGCTAAAAATTTCAATAAAAAACCACCCACGTAGCCTATTTGGTAGTCAAAACTAAACATCCCTCAAATAAGGGAATACAATGGTAACACAGGATATTAAAAGGATGTCTGCACATGATGGTGGATCTACTAACGACTTTAAAATCATATTTGTGAGACAATAACTTGATTACTGTCTGGCTAATGTTAATTATACGTCATTGACGTGAATAATAAGAACGTAAAGGTACATTTAAGGTCGTTGTGATCACTATATAGAGTAGATAAACTGATAATCCTTCGCGTTTTCTTACTCTTCTTTCTGATATGTATCTGTCCTTGGCTTTATTCACAACTTAACTTCTAATTTACCAGGGTTGTGATGTCATGTTATAATCAATGTTTTGACTGAAACCGGGTGACAAGCTTGTCAAACCTTTTGGACAAATCTTTAACTAAATACAACCATACAAACCATTCGAATTATATTTTGCCACAATATTACATCGTGCTGTAACTAGAGCCTTTTTGGGGGAAGCGAGAAATTCACAGCAAAACCTGAGACTTTTATGGTTTAAGAAACCAAATTTTCTTCTAACTGTTCTTCCTAAATTGCAGATATTTCGTATAAATATTGGTTAAATGCATCCAAAACCCCAGTTCAACTTATCCGAAGATAAAGTTAAGGAAAACTACTTTGACCGTAGAAGCTTAACTTCATGTTTTTAAACTAAACTCCGTAAGAGAAAATTCAAGTGTAGATATGGACACTTGTACTCACGACATTTTATTGTATAAACCTATACGTGTTATAATTATAGCCTAAGTATGCTATGGTAGACTGAGGAAACACATAGAACGTTTTTGAAATCAGAAATGCAGTTGGAGCTGTAGTCTAGGTATTTGAATTCGATGGCAACAGTAGTTGTTTATTCCGGTTCGAGCCCAGGACGAGGGACGAGGACTAGTCCAGAAATAGGACACCCTTGAGGGATCAAATTTAAAGCCATTGGTTAAATTCTAACCTAACATAATGCAGCTTAACCTAACCTAACTTTACCTAAGTTTGTTTAGGATTAAATTTAGAAGGGTATCCCACAAAAGTTTATTTCTATTACTAGCAGAGTACCCGTCCTTCGTACGGGGTTGGCATATAAGTATCAAATGCTTATAGCAGTTATGAGTGAGGACATGGTTTAAGAAATTTCGGTTCTTTTTGAAGTTCGTTCGCTACGCTCACTCACCTTTAGGTTGGAGCTCGTTCGCTGCGCTCACTTTCCTTCAGGTTAGCTCGTTCGCTACGCTCACTTGCCTTCAGGTTAGCTCGTTCGCTACGCTCACTCGCCTCCAGGTTGAAGTTCGTTCGCTACGCTCACTCACCTTTTGCTGTTGTCATAAATGTAAAAGAAATAATAGTGCTAGTGCTGCACCCTGTTGGTAATCCTTGTAACTTTTAATGCTATTGAACATCATAGAACATAACCAACTTGTTTAATTGAAACAGCTGTTAAGATTCATTAATTCCATTTCTCATAAGGTTAACATGGGAAACTCCAGAGCCACTGGGGCGGAGCCCCGAAGGATTTTTTGGGATAAAAATATGCCTATATGTTAATCAGGAATGTGAGCTATCGTCATGCCAAATTTCAGCCCGATCC